GATCTGCATTGCCCAGTGATTATATTACATATTTATCGGAGAGCGATTTTAATATTGGGCATATTGTTGATCCTGTAACTTATAACCAAGCATTGACAAGTCCTGAGGCAGATAAATGGATAGTTGTCATGGAAGATGAAATGAATTCCATGGAAAGTAGTAAAGCTTGGGATCTTGTTGAACTTTCTCCAGATGATAAGGCTGTAGATAATAAGTGGATTTTCAAAAGTAAATTAGATTCAAAAGGAAATGTTGAACGAAAGAAAGCAAGATTGGTTGCGAAATGTTTCACTCAATGAGAGGGCATTGATTATGTTGAAACATTCTCCCCTTTTTCATCAAAAGATTCCGTTCGAATTATCATGACTCTTGTGGCACACTACGATTTGGAGCTTCATCAAATGAATGTTAAGATAGCATTTTTGAATGGAGATCTTTCTGAAATGGTTTCTATGAAACAACCTGAAGATTTTGTTGTGAAAGGAAAAGAAAACTTGGTGTGTAAGTTAAACAAGTCTTTATATGGTCTCAAACAAGCATCTCGACAATGGTATTTGAAATTTGATGAGGTTATAACCTCTCTTGGTTTTGTTGAAAATGCTATTAACCAATGCATTTATATCAAAACCAGTGGGAGAAATTTTATTTTTCTTCTACTGTATGTTTATGACATTCTGCTTGCTAGTAGTAACTTAGGGGTGCTTTATGAAACAAAGAAAATGTTGTCTGCTAATTTTGAGATGAAAGATCTTGTAGAAGCTTCCTATGTACTTGGCATTGAAATAGATCATGATAAAAATCGTGGCTTATTGGGATTCTCTCAGAAAGCTTATATACGACATGTTCTAGAAAAGTTTAATATGCAGAATTGTGCACCTGGTGATGTACCTATCATAAAAAGAGATAAATTTAACAAAACTCAATGTCCAATGAATGAGCTGGAAAGGGAATCTATGAAGATGATCCCATATGCTAGACTGGATATAGCCTACGCAGTAAGTGTCCTTAGCAGATTTCAGTTTAATCCAGGACAAGAGCATTGGAAAGCAGTTAAGAAAGTTATGAGATATTTGAAGAAAACTAAAAGTTATATGCTTACATTTCAGCGTACAAATCATCTTGAGGTGGTAGGATATTCATACTCTGATTTTTTCCTGGATGTCAAGATGATTTGAAATCAACCTCAAGTTATATTTTTACATTAGCTGGTGGTGCCATTTCTTGGAAAAATGCTAACAGACTCTAGTGGCATCTTCTACTATGCAAGCTGAATTTGTGGCATGTTGTGGGGCTACAGTCCAAGCCGTTTGGTTAAGAAATTTCATCTCTGGCTTGAAAGTTGTTGATTCCATCTCAAGACCGATCACCATCTACTGTGATAACAGTGCAGCAGTAATCTTTTCAAAGAATAATAAAAGTTCTGGTGGATCAAAACATATTGATATCAAATATTTGGTTGTTAGAGACAGAGTCAAAGAAGGACAGACGAAAATAGAGCATATCAATACAGAGGCAATGATTGCAAATCCCTTGACTAAGGGACTTACTCCAAAAGTCTTTAAGACACATGTTACTAATATGGGTATTGTAGAAACATTTGATATTTTTGGTTAGTAGGAGTTACTTATGTAAAGAATTACGTTTTTGGCTTGATCCCTTTGCGGGGTACGTAGGCAACTCATATGTTTTCAGGTACAGCCCCTTCTAACAATAAAATAACATGTTTTCCCCTATCCACGGACTATTTTGAGCATGCATTTGACTCATGTCTTTTTATTATAATATTATTGTGATATGACATGTAAAGACATAAGATGAGTCTTTTTGAAGACATGTGGCTTCATTTTGATCAGAAGCATTATGAGAACTGATATGAATTAACACAGTTTTTTTTATCACATTTGGTGCTAAGTTCATGCCACATACTACCACATTGGTTGGAGGATGGGGGATCCATGTCGATAAGGATGTTGACATTTGTAGCTGTGGAATGATCTTATATCATTTAATTGGTGTAATGACTTCCATGTTCGGTGTTAATATTCTTGTTGGACTGGATCATGTTACATAAGGTGACATCATTGGAGTCATACTTTTGTGGCCACCTATGTAGTCTAACCCGGGTGTTAAAACTTTGTTATAGCAATCAAATGTTTGCCCAAGTGGGAGAATGTTGGAATAATTTCATATGTGGGCTTCACATTCGATTGCAAATTTTATGGGTTAGATGTATGGCTCATAATGATATTTGTGTTTGGGCCAAATTTATTAAGTAATCAATTGGGCCTTTTATACTTTACGGGTTGTAGTTAATATGATGTGTAATTTTAAGTATGTGGGCCGGAAATAAAACCCTAATTAAAATTCTAATCATAATGGGACGGCTCAAATTATTTCCTATATATAAAGGCTAGGTCCCCTTTCCTCTCCATATGTTTTATTGGCTTGCCCCATTGATAGCTAATACTTTTGTGAGGAGCAAGGAGGAGAAGATCTTGGCTGCTATTACAACTATTATTCATATCAACAATGGCTTCCGTAGGTATGAATTCATTTTATTAATTTAATTTTGGTGATTCTTGATTCTTAGCATGATTAAATTAAAATTTAACATTCTCAAGATTGATTTAAGGAAAGCATATGAATCAATGAATTGGGATTTTCTTAGTGGCGAACTCGGTGGTTTGGGATTTTCGGCAAGATTTATTGCATGGGATTTTCGGCAAGATTTCTTAGAGCGCATCACTACTACATCATATTCTATAGCACTTAATTGTAGCATTCATGGATTCATCGAAGGGAAAAAGGCCTTCAACAAGGGGATCCTTTATCTTACTTTTTGTTTGTACTTTTCCTCGAATATTTCTCACGATTGTTGAAGGGGAAAACTAAGGATAGTGAATTAAATTTTCATCCTACACTTGGCATTTGCAGATGACTTGATGCTCCTTGCTAGAGGGGACTTAACATCAATTCGTTTTCTGATGGATTGCTTGTCTTCTTCTGGAGATGTATCAGGATTGAGAATGTATACTTCCAAATACAGCTTATATATAGCCAGTGTTCATGATCAAGAGTTGGAAATTTCAGACGTTGACAGGCGTACTGAAGGGATCCATCCCGTTTCACAGCTTAGGTATACCACTTGCAGCCAAAAAATTGAAAATTAGTTCCTATGCACCATTTTGGACAGAATTTCAACATAAATTTGTGCATGGAAAAAAACATCATTGTCCTAACATCATTATCCTATGCCCAAAGAGCCGAACTTGTTAGATCCGTGCTTCAAGGTGTTGTCAGTTGTCTATATTCCCAATCCCAGCCAGAGTTGCCACAAGAAATATAAGACTATGTCGAAATTTTCTTTGGGATCCAAAAAGTCGTTGGTAGCATGGAAGAATGTATGTTTACCGAAGAATGAAGGTGGCCTTGGTTTTAAAGATGTTAAATGCTGGAATTTAGCATCGCTGTCAAGATCACTTGGGAACATCAACGATAAGAATAATTCACTATGGGAGCAGTGGATAAATAATATTTACTTGCGAGGGACAACAATCTGGGACTGCTCCGCTAGAAAAGGGGATTCCCCTTTGCTCAAAAAGCTATTGGAAGTCAGGAACAAAATCGTCTAGCCTGAAGGTACTGCACATGCTGCATGGGGCAGATTGTCGAAAAAGGTAGCCAATGGGGGGAAGCTTAGGCCCTGTTCTCTTTACCGTTTTCGGGTCGTTTTCTATTTTCGATTTTTCAAAACGGTGAAAACGCGTTCTCTTTCCCGTTTTCGAAAACGAATTTTCGAAAACGAAAAAAAATTTGTGAAGAAAACACAAAACGACTTTTTTGTCGTTTTGGGCGTTTTCAGTGTAAAACTTGAAAAAATTGAAAACGCGGGAAAAACTTCTTCTTTTTTTTTTTTTTTTTTTTAGGAGGGGGTGTGGTGATTCTCAAAATTTCAAAAAAAAAAATTTTTTTTTTTTTTTTTTTTGTTTTGGGGGGGTGTTGGGGGGATTCTCAAAATTTAAAAAAAAAAATTTTTTGTTTTTTGTTTTGAGAAACTAACAAAAAGAACGCATTTTCAACAATTTCAAAACAAACACTCAAAACACAAAACTCAAAACACAACTGAAACACAAAGAGAACACCCCCTTAGCATCTCGCGTGCATATGATTTTTTCAGGCGAACTGGGTACAAGAAGACTTGGGCCAGAGATGTTTGAAAGCCTTGCATTGCGCCTAAACACTCTTTTATCTTGTGGTTAAGTGCTCAATCAAAACTCTTAACCAAATACATGCTGTTGTACCTTGATATCAATAGAAATTGTGTTTCGAGACTCACAAGAGGAATCAGGCCAGCATATTTTCTTCCAATGTTCATTCAATTCTTGCATTGGGTGGCTAGTTAGAGCATGGTGGGGTATATTACAAGCTCTATGACTACCACTGGGAGCGTTTTGAAGTGGATTAAAAAGAAGATCTGATGGACATTTTGGCACAGCAAAGCCAACAGAATTGTGCGTGCTTGCACAGTTTACCACATATGGATGGTGAGAAATATGAAGATTTTTGAAGATCTTTAATCTCACATTGATAGCACAGTAAGATAGATGAAAATATATTTATACAAAATCATATTTTTTTTGTATCCTCGTGTTTTGATTCATTTTGAATCTTTAGTATTGCGTCTATAGATATTTTAATTTGTACATCTTTTCTTTTTGTTTAGGCCGAGTATGCACAAAGTACTTGTACATGAGTTTTGATCAATAGAATTTTTACATTTACCAATAAAAAAAAGTATAAACATGATTTAACATCGATTAATGCTATTCAAAATCATTGATTTTTAACACCAATCTACATGAATGTATTTATCACAATAAAATAAGTCGAGTTAGTCTCGTCATCCATCTCGCCCAAGCTTTTCTTACTGAATGCAATGTCCAGCGTGGCAAACTGACCCATCCATCTATATAAAACCAAGTCCCTTCGAAGCAAGTAAATAAGCAAGTCAACAACAAACTATTCTTAATGAATTTAGGGTAGACTACGCGACTCTGTTGGGCTCAAAATTTGAGATACACGGGCTAATAATTGCATAAAAAGTAATCTGGATTACCATGCTAGCCCATCAATTCAGCAACATCAAACCAATTTTTTTACCAGGTTGAAAAAAGAGAAGAAAAGAGGTCCATACAAAACCCTAACTGCACATACTGCCCAAATCTGGGGAACCTCAAGGTGTTTGATGAATTAATAGTGCATTCATCCTAGAAATGTAAATTCGATTGCTAGAATCTGTACATGATGGCTCATTTCAGGCATGAGATAGCCATAACACAGATTGGGATTTTCGACTTGCAGCAGGCTGGTCGAGTTCGTCCAAAATCAAGTTGTAGCAGACTATGACAATTCGACATCAGCCACCTTAGAATTATTCGTGATCACCAGACTTCGTCATTGTCCTGCAGATGTTCCCAGTAAGCCAGTAATATCCTGACAATGGCGCAGAGTTGCCCTTATGGCCTCTAACATTTCATTGATGTTTATACGTCTCCTGCAATTCAAGGCATAACAGAACTTTTATCACTGACACATTAGAATACGCATATAGCATTGAAAAATTTTGGGGAAAAAAATAAATTAAAAAAAAAAAACACAACTGTTATCTGTCAACCACTTCATCTAAGAGCTTGAATTGGTAAATAGGGTATAGGGACATTTATTTATTTAATTGTGGCCCTTCACATGCAAGCTGAATTTATGACCAAGCCTGAAATGTGACAATTCATAAATGGGAGATGGCGAGACTTGAACTCAGCTATTTTGTGAAGCTCTGATAAGGCGTTAACCAACTCATCTATAGTTTAAGTTGCTAGAGTAGAGCCACATTTTTATTAAAATGTTGTCTTCAACACTATCATCATCCTAGAAGCACAATAAACTGAATGATTTGCTAATTAAAGTGCACCAGATTTACATAAACTAGAGAACAAAAATGTGGAGAGTGCTCCTCATGACTAGCAGAAAAACAGTTGTTTAGCATAAATTATCCAACCACACATCGCTCCTATGTATTGGGAAAACATTAGTCATGAATTTACTTCCATAATAAACATAAACCTAAGGCTTATTCCACAGGATATCAACTGACGAAACTGAAAATTAAGTGCAGAAAATTGTTGAATAGGAAACAAAACTGTTCTAGTGCCTATGGGCCTATACATACACCAATGTTCACCATCATGCCTGAAAATTCAGTTTTCTGAGGTTTCTTTTCCATTAAACTGCCTTATCAGATACCTCACTAATTTTTCAATATGGATAGGCTTTAAAGAAAAGACCAGTAGAATATCATTAAAGTACATTTATTTGGCATAAGAAATGCAGTGTTAAGAATCATAAATGATGGTTGAACAGTACGTGTTAAAACTGGTTCATGACACTGAAGTTGGGAAAGCCATGCATGTGGAATTTATTAAGATTCAAGATTCAAGGAAAGGTGTGCATCTAGGAAAAGAAAAGGTAACACTAACAAACTTACAGAACACTAACGCCCACAACAGCAAGAGGTCGTGGATATGCTTCAATTTCCTTCATCTTTTGATCAACAGCTTGGTCCTTGTCATTTGACATGGAAAAGGCATCAGTTTTGGAGATTGCATCAGTGTGCATATCAATCTTGTCACTTCCGATTCTCAATATTTCTTCCTTTAAAGATGGAAGTCTGTCCATTGCCTACAAAGGCTACTATGATTAGACTTGCAGATTATCTAACACAGAACATGTGAGGTCAAAGCTTCACTTATTGTCTATGAAGAGACATTCTACTGAAGAATTTAGAACACATACCTTGGGAATGTCAACTTTATTTAGCACCACAATGTATGGTCGTTCAAGGTAATTAGGATTGTACATCCGCAATTCCTGCAGGATCATTGTACTTAAGACCACAGTATACATTAAAAGATTAAGGAAATAATTAAATTTACTTAAAAACTGAAATGAATTGAGACCAATGAGTACAATTTCTCTCTCAAGTTATCATGTAATTTTGTTAGCAGAGATTAGCAGAAAAAAGAAAAATAAGTTAAGTAGATAGAAAGACGCATGTCTAGACATATTTATAGATTGAAAAGTAATGGAAGCAGATTAAAGATGTAGTCAGAAAAAGAAAATTATGGAAAACCCAAAAGGCAAACCGCACACAAAGAAAAGAACGAAAATAAGCAGAACGGAAAAAAGAAAAGCAGAAGTAACACCGGTAACGTAAGAGTTTGCAATCAGAATACAGCCAGTAGACTCGCATTCATCTGCATCTATACATGCTAATGAATTATCAACATCATCCATCATTCAATAACAAATTTCAAAACTGAAGTCAGTAGGCATACTTCTTTCACTGTTCTGTAATCACTCACAGGGTCCTCAGCAGCTGCATCAACAACATGGACCAGCAGCCGAGTCCTCCTCAAATGCCTTAAAAAATTGCGACCAAGACCCTGTAAAGTGACATGGTCATGCATGAATTTAGAGTTCAAAAAGAAAACAATAAATAAAAGCAACAAGACCACTGAAGCCGAAGGCTGCTTAAAAGTAATTGAATTAAGATTTTTTGAATAAATCATAATCTCTAATACCTTCCCCAGATGGGCTCCTTCGATGAGACCAGGCAAATCTGCTAAAGTTGCCTCAGATAAAAATTTTCCTGCCCCTAAGCTAGGGTCACCATCAAGGCGTCCCAAGTTTGGCATCAAGGTTGTGAACGGATAATCAGCTATATCAGGCTTCGCAAGTGTAATGGCTGCCAATAGAGTAGATTTTCCGGCATTTGGGAGTCCCTTAAAATTAATGGATAATGGTTAGGTCTATAAATTGACAGACTGGCATGCAGGATTAAGTCATGACTTCATGTCAAACAATTTCAACAGTTTCAGCACTCTAATAAATGAAACAGCAGGGAACCCTATCATAACTATGACGCTCAATATGACTGAAATCTATAGACCCAGTCAAACAGTCACAAGAAAGAACGGATGGACGGGGGAAAGTGGGTAAGAACATGTAACTTGGTTGTTTGGGTCATTAGGAACATAATATCAAAAATGTAATAACAATTTGGAAACTATTACAATATCCAACAATGTTCACACCTAGGGTACTTAAAAAAACTAGGGTATTTGTGAATGCTTGAAGCTGCAAATGTAAACAATCACACAAAGAATATATCAAAGTATGAACAAATGACGAAAAACTTACAAACGCATTTCCCCAATAAGTAAATGAAAACAATCACACAAAGAATATATCAAAGTATGAACAAATGCCGAAAAACTTACAAACGCATTTCCCCAATAAGTAAAATTGTGGATTTCCCAACAGAAAAATAGAAGGTAAACACTTCCAGCTTAATTTGGATAAGTCATTCTAGTTTAGGAGCCAAACTTCCTACTCAATCAAACGAACCAATAGATTCTGTAATATAGTTGCAAGTCTAGGTCAAGATCTAGTTTTTCCAACCTACAAACTGTCTAGAGGGGTGTTTGGGAGTGATTTTTCACCCCAAAAAATTGATTTTTTGATCGTTATTTCATTATTTCAGTCGTGAAGTTTGACTTCTTTTCTCACAGATGGCCCCTACCTTTCTCCTAACAATCACAAAATCAATTCTCAAAATCGCTCCCAAACGGGGCCTAGAAAAAGATCTTGTTGAAGAGAAGGTAAAACTGGCTGAAAATTAGATGGGACAAAATTTAGCAACTAACTGCTAATGAAGAATTAACTTCATGTTTATCTCAAGAAAATATTAACATGTGCATGTATATGCACACTTGTCTATATATGCATGCATGGTATGTACAGATACACTTAAAACAGAACATGCATACACCCAATTTTCCATGCAATGCTCGTCTGAAGTGGATACAATTGTATGCATACAATAATGTGATGAAACAGAAAAGTTTATATACTCAATACTTACAATGAGACCAACATCTGCAACAACTCTAAGTATCAACTGCAAACTAACCTCTTCACCAGGCTGACCAAGAACCAAAACCTGAAACATGTCGAGAATTATTAAGTATCATCCTGTGAAAATATATTGCATTGCATGCCTAAGGTATATACCAGGTCTTTATTCAATTTCAAGCATTGTTATCAAGAACCATAGTTCTTTAGGAGGTGAAAAATTCTAACACAGAATACATACACATTAAAGTTGTCAGGTTAGACTTCTTTTCCGGTCTATGAAGACATACCGTAATGGATAGAATACCATAAACTTCAGTAAGTAGGTAAATGTCATGGTGTTTTTCTTACAAGGATGCAGTGGCACGTAATGGAGCAGAAGGCCCTTTTTCCCTTTCCATAGTTAGAAATCCTCACGTGGTCATCCACAACAAATAACATTAAGATAAACTAATTCTAATATGGATATGTTAACATTGTCATCTTCAAAAGAAATACAATATGTTTCTTCCTTCACAATTTTCCCTTTTTTCAGTCTTGAAACTTTTATCAATCTTTTGAGGAATTTTATGGTCATTATGTGGACCTATCTAACATTACTGACCACTTTTAACAGTCAATTTCTCATTTGTTGATGAACGTCTTCTGAAAAAATACAATCTGTTTCTTCCTTCACAATTTTCCCTTTTTCTCTGTCTTAAAACTTGTCAGTCTTTTGTGGAATTTTATGGTCATTATGTGGACCTATCTACCGTTACTATCCACTTTGAACAGACAAATTGTCGTTTGTTGATGCAACGATGTCGTACCACCACTTATATTCACCTTTTACAGCCCTTCTCTCATTTGACAGGATAACCTAAAAAATTGCTTAGTTGCAATATCTCTCACAAGAATTGAATCTTAATTGAACTTCATGGCTTAGGCGCATTCAGCTGACATGTTATTCTAGCGCCTTTGCAAGCTACTCATACACAACCAAAATAACTTTACATATGATTACGTTTTACAATGAAGAGGACTATTTTTGAATTGTTTGTTAGGTCACTTATTTCTTAGTAAATAGCTAAAATCCATCATTGTTAAATTTAAGCTTTTGGATCTGTCTCAAGCTTTACTTCCACAATAACTTCGATTTCACATCCAATTTATGTACTTTATTAAGTAACATGATGATATTTTTAACAGCCAAATGTCATATTAAATATTTCAATACTTGCTACTGTATTTACTTATCTTGTGCACAGAAATATATGAAGGAAGGCTAATCATAATTGACAAAGGTAAAGAAAAAAGTGGATTTTCAAGCGAGAACTGGAGGATCTCCGGAAAACACATTATGCTTCTTTATTCTTTTTCACGCAAAGCATTTTCCTTCATGTTTGGACATGGGCATGCAGCTAAATATATCATAAGAAGCATGGACAGTTACAGGTGACATGACATGCACACGTCAACACGCGTTTTTTTTAGAAAGATGGGACATGGACATATCAAAATAATTTATTTACATTTTGATATTGTAACTTTGTTTTTATACTTGCTATTTTTTAATATCATCATTTTGTTTAAATTTTTTTTTAGTTTTGGTTTTTTTAGTGGTATCTCTTAAATCGGACGGGCAGCTATTACAGATAACTTATATCCAAAACTCATGCAGAGGAGGAGACATTTGCATATGATTATAACGGAGGTTTTGGAGATGGGGATGGTATTGAAATTGCATCATGATTATGATAATAACTATTGTTTTGCATATGCAGTAATCAAACAAAATTTCTTAACAGTCATATCAGAATACAAGACAGTAAAAATTGCAGCTTGATGCATCGATAATTTGAAAGAAATGAAAACGCCAACAGTTAAATCAACATCTGCAGAACGATATAAATATATTTTGCAAGTTGAAATATGTCATGGTGCAGGTTAAAACTAAGTCAGTCAAAGATAAACATGCTATCGAAATTTCAAATATCCCTCTGTGATTATCATGACAAAGGGCACTAAATGAACTAAATTATTGACATATTGCATGGAGATTCCTTAGGTTGTACTTTGCCGTAGATGCAAACAACAAGATAGAAATTAAACGCAATATCTCTACCCAGCGTAAATTCTCCAAATTAGAACTCAGAGAACACAGATACAGGAAAATATGTCTAACAGAAGACCATGAACAATGTCTGGCCTTACCTTATCACTGTCATCTCTCATCACATTAGTGGTTAAAGCTGTCGTTGTCTTCCTTTTATGCTCAGGGACTTCCAACAAGCTAATCTGCCAAAAGCAAATAAGGAACAGACTCATTGACGATGCATGCAGTTTCAAAACATGCTTATTTAGCCCTTGTCTGAGCTCCATTCTTTGGTAAAAGGCATTTTTGAACAGTGTTTTGACATTATTTCAACCACATATTTTTCAAAAAAATAATATTACACACAAATCTAAAACTTTTCCTTATTTTTTAACCACACATTTCCCATCAATACACTATTCAAAAATTCATTATTTCCCCCAAAATGGGGCTCAAACAAGGGCTTAGTCTTTGCTACAGCCACTGACATATAGTATAGAGAAGAATGCCTCCAAGTAAAAACGAATCAATTAATTCAATCTGTAATTTTCATTTAAATGTGATCTTAATTATCATTTTCAATGTTTAACGAATGGTTTTTTTGTTTGTTTTTTCTCTCCCTCTCTTTCCCTTGCTTTTTCTGTTGTTGGGGATGGCATTTTGGGACCAACCTTAAAGCTTCATGATACAAGCATCTAGCTAAAATTTACGAATAAAGATTCTCACCCCTCCTTGTCCACCCCTGGCTACAAGAACTTCATCGCCTGGACGAGCTAAATCAGCCAGAAGCTTTCGTCTTTTATGTTTTATAACTGTTCCTGTCATATGTGGCAAAAATATAGTAAGCTGTAGGAATTCATAAATTATGGAAAGATATCAAAATCTTTCCTTGGTCTATATATATTGGTAGATTGTATTGTATTTGATATGTGGTTATTATTCTCCTAAATTAGGAGATAGCTTTTCCTTCTTTTTTTTCCATTATTGTACCATATAAGGATGTAAGTTGGAGGTTAATAATTAAGAAATACAGAAAATAATTATGTTTCTGTCTTCATGGTATTAGAGCACAAGCTTGTCTAAACCAAGCCACATATGGCAGATTTTCCTATCAATAGCTCGGGATCAGTCACCTCCGCCAACCCACAAATCGAAACGGAGGCCAATTCCACAATTGGCTCCCACGATTTCGAAAACTCCTATTTCCAACTTGCGGTAAAAAAATTGAACGGAAGAAATTTTCTTGAATGGGCCCAATCAATAAAATTGGTGATTGATGGAAAAGGGGAACTAGGATACTTTACTGGCAAAACGAAGAAACTAACTGATGTTGCACTCTTATAGAGGTGGAAATCTGATAATTCCATGGTCATCGCATGGCTGGTAAACTCCATGAAACCGTATATGAGGAAGCCCTAACTCTTTCTCCCAACTGCGGAAGAAGTTTGGGAAGCTGTGAAGGAAGCATATTCCAACTCCGGAAATTACTCACATATTTTTGAAATTAAGACTTGATTGTGGCAAATAAAACAGGAGAGTAGGGATGTTATTTATTATTTCATGGAAATGACATCACTTTGGCAAGAACTCGATCTCAGCAGTGGTGAAGAATGGAGTTGCGGTGATGACAGTGTCCGATATAAAAAGAAACTTGAGAATGAAAGAGTGTATGAGTTTTTAGCTGGCCTCAATCACGAACTGGACGACGTCAGGAGTCGGATTCTTGGCCGACGGCCATTGCCCTCCCTTCACAAGGTGTTCTCGGAGGTTCAAAGAGAGGAAGCCTGATGACAGGTCATGTTGACCGAAGGGTTCAACGGGCCAAGTGAGATGTCAGCTCTTCTAATGTCCAAAGGGAATGGGCCGAAAATGGGTAGAAAATATGGCCCAACAGTGGATAAAGGCTTACTCACTGACCCTCATGTGCAAAAGGTATTGGGCTGGAAATAAATAATGGGCCTGAATCTATGGGCATGTCATCTAAGGGAACAATAAATGGGCCAGGCCAAAAAAACAACGTGGTCGACCGTGGTGTGAACATTGTCGGAAGCCAGGACACAAAAAAGATACGTGTTGGGACCTACACGAGAAACCTACTAATTGGAAGCCAAAACAAAACACTAGGAGTCGGGGATATCATTAATCCTGCTCAAAATGGTGCATTCAACCCCGAACAATTGAACCAACTCTACCAAATTTTCTCTAGTCTCCAAACTACTGGTCAGCCCTCTCCTAATAGTCCTTTGAGCTCTCTAACCCATAAAGGTAATTTCTTAAGTGCCTTATGTACTACCTCAAAAGTTAAAACCTCTTGGATTATTGACTCAGGAGCATCCGATCACATGACAGACTCGTATCATCTATTTTCCTCATACTTAAACTATTCCAGTAACGTTAAAGTCAAAATTGTAGATGCCTCCCTCTCATCAGTTGTAGGTAAAGGGAGTATCAAATCTCTAACTCGATAACACTTGAATCTGTTCTACATGTCCCAAATTGTCTTGTAATTTATTGTCTATTAGCAAGCTAACTAAAGACTCCATTTGCTCTACTAAATTTTTTCCATCTCATTGTGTTTTTTAGGACCTTTCATTAGGGAAGATAATTGGTAGTGCTAAAGAATGTAAGGCGCTGTACTAGTTTAAGGAGGTCGATGGAGGTAAACAATGTCAAATTGCAATTTGTGAGTCTACATTTGTCTCTAGGGATAGTGAAATTCTTTTTATGGCATTATAGACTAGGCCATCCCAATTTCCAATATTTAAGACGTGTAATTCCTTCAATACATTTGAATAACAATTCAATTGATTTTCAGTGTGAAAGTTGTAAACTTGCGAAGCATAAGCGTGCCTCTTACCCAAACTTGATATACAAATCATCTAAACCCTTCACTATGATTCACAGTGACTTATGGAGACCTTCTCAAACTCCTAATCACACACAAGATTATTTATCACATTCATAGATGATCACACTCGAGTCTATTAGGTCTATCTACTAAAAGAAAAATCTAAGGTCTGCTCTGTGTTTATCAATTTTCATTCAATAATTCAAACACAATTTCAGACACAAATTCAAATACTTAGAACGGATAACGGTACAGAATACTTCAATACTACATTACGAGATTACTTACAAAAACATGGGATATTCCACCAAACTTCATATGTCAATACTCCTCAACAAAATGGAATCGCAGAGTGAAAAAATAGACACCTTCTTGAAGTTGCCCTGCCCTAATGTTCACTGCAAATATGCCAAAACTATTCTGGGGAGATGCCATTCTAACGGCCACATATCTAACTAACAGACGCTCAGTCGTACTCTATCCTTTGTTTGAACCCTCAAAAAATTCCAAATACACTTTCCGACCTCCCACCTTACTCTAACCTACCTTTGAAGTGTTTGGATGCACAGCCTTTACTCATGTTCATTCTCATCTCCAAAGCAAATTAGACCCTCGTGCACTTAAATGTGTATTCATTTGATACTCACCCACTCAAAAGGGCTATAAATGCTATGACCCATCCACAAAAAAGAGTATTTGTTAGCCTAGATATGACCTTTGAAAAATCACCTTTCTTAAAAAAAAATCCTTTTGAGTGAAGATCAACCCTTCGAAGAAATCTTTAACTTTGATCCCTCTCCTGAGCCAACTTATACTAAACAGGCCACGTCTAATATGCCATAGGGGAAGATGAAGAAAAACAAAACGATAAGGAGATACTGAATAGGTCACGTCTAATATGCCATGTAAAGAAGAAAACTTGAATACAGGGAGAGATGCAGGAAAACAAAGCAATAAGGAGATACTAGTTTACTCAAGGAGGCCAAGTTCAAAGTATAAAGGAAACCTCACACTTGAGGCACCAAAAGAGTTAGAACCAATGATCAGACCTAATGAAATTCCACCCGATGAATCTAGATCCCCAAGTGATAACATACCTATTGCTCTTAGAAAACAAACTCGATCATGTACTTTCCACTCTATTTCTAAATTTATGTCTTATCACACTCTATCTACAAAATTTCGTGTTTTTACTGCTAACCTTGACAATACAGAAATCCCAAAAAAATATCCAAGAGGCCTTGGAAGTTCCCGAATGGAGAGAAGCAATAATGGAAGAAATGTGGGCTTTAAAAAAAAAACTTGGAATGTGGTGAAGTTACCAACAGGCAAGAGACTAGTAGGCTGCAAATGGTTTTTTAATGTGAAATATAAAGCTGATGGGACGATGGAACGTTATAAAGCTCATTTGGTAGCCAAAGGGCATATACAGACCTATGGTATTGACTACATGAAAACATTTGCACCAATCGCAAAACTGAATACAATTCGAGTTCTCATATCCCTAGCAGCTAATTTAGATTGGCTTCCAGCAGATGGATATTAAGAATGCATTTCTAAATGGAAAATTAGAAGAATAAGTCTTTATGATAGCACCACTAGCATTCTATAAAAGTTATGGAAAAGATTGGAGTTGAAAACTCAAGAAACCTTTATACGTTCTTAAGCAATCACCAAGAGCCTAGTTTGATAGATTTACAATGGTGTTGAGGAATCAAGTATATCAGCAAAGGCAGTCAGATCATACCATTTTTTTCAACAATCGAAATAAGGAAAAATAACAATTCTAATTGTATATGTAGACGACATAGTCCTCACTAAAAACAATATAACTGAGATGGACAGACCAAAGGAAAAGCTAGCCTTCGAATTTGAAGTAAAAGACCTAGGACCAATGCGATATTTCTTGGGCATGAAGGTGACAAGATCAAAAAAGGGCATCAGTGTTTCACAACGGAAATATATTCTCAACTTTTTGACCAAAACAGACATGCTTGAATGTAAACCAAGCGACACCCCTATAGATGGAGGAAAAAGGACAGAGGACATAGGGAGACTGGTGGAAAAGGAGAGATAACAACGATTAATCGGTAAGTTAATCTACTTATCACACATTCGACCTGACATTGCTTTTGTGATCAGCATTGTAAGTCAACATATGCAGTCTTCGAAGGAAACACACCTAGAAACAGTATACAAAATTCTCAGGTACCTAAAAGGTTCCTCCGAAAAGAGATTGTTCTTCAAGAAGAATGAAAAGAGAGGAGTAGAAATATTTATAGACGCTGATTGGGCCAGATCAATCGAAGATAGGAGATCAACATCGGGTTACTGTACCTTTGTACGGGGAAATTTGGTAACTTGGAGAAGTAAAAAACAAAATGTAGTAGCAAGAAGTAGAATTCAGAGCAGCTTGTCACGGATCGCAAGATCATGACTTAAGACATGGCATGACACGGGAATGTCATGGCACAAGGTGGGAAAATGAGATAGACTTATGGCAAATAAGGTCTATGCTTCGGAGGTATATGGCGATGAGTGCGTCGCCAAATTCAGTGGGGGAGTGATTTACACCTCACGCGGTCGCGTTCGATCCGTTTCGGTAGCGATCACAAGATAGCGCGGTTAACGCGTTTCAAAATGACGGAACAGCTTGCGATAGGGGACGCAAGTAGATTCGGTAAAGGTCGCAGGTAAACTCGGGCTGGGAATGCATAGATGATTTTGGGGCAGAATGCAGGCTACCTAGATCGTGCAGTTTTTCAGGGCGTTAATGAGGTTTTTCTAAGTCCCGACCCAGCCATTTTGGGAGGAAAAATACTTGAACCTGCAGCCGGATATTTTGAGGATGCAAGTGGGCAACTTGCACAACTTGTCCACTTGTGTGCCACTTGCAAGCTAAGCGCGAGTTGTATGCAAGCTAAGCGCGAGTTGGCAAGGATAAATATCAACGGTGCAAGCTAGGCGCGA